GCAATGGGAAAACACCGTGGACCACGTGTGGAAAACCATGAGAAAATATACGAACATATATGAACATGTACCATCATATACCATGGAAAGATGGAGATGGAGATGATTGACATGTACTGATTCTAGAAGTCACTGGAGAAGTGTTTACTCACCATGTTTTGTCAAGCAACAAGTGATATTGGACAGGACCCGAGATCGATCCGGACCACAGATGTTTCGGAAAATAGGAGTACTGCAAACCTCGTTTCAAATGGCAATGTTCACGGAATATGGGTATGAGTCAAAACCTTGGTACCCTTCTGTTCACCCCAAATAACTGGGATTCATGGATGTTCATCCCCCTAAATATAGCAAGATTGGTTTTGATACATCCCCATATGATATGAACCATGTTTCAGATGATTCATGATGAAGCATGAGATTAGGGGAATTTTCAGAGAAACCCATGTTTTCCCAAGAGCTGGACATCTGAGCCTCACACTGCAACGTCTTGGCTTCATCGCTTCCCATCTTTTTCTTTCCCTTGGCCTGTCGTGATTTCGTGGTATACAAACCAAGGATGAAGTGCTGCATATTACTTTGCATTACATTCCATTGCATCACATTATATTATAAACATACGTGTAATATATATATATAAATATACATACCCTGACGATCCATGACTGCTAATAGTACCAAATTTGGTATGTAGGCAAAATTTGGCTACATTGCCAATGTTAGCATTATTTGATTACATTGTCGGAATGGGGCTGTCGGATGGGTCACTTGTCGGAGAATAAGGCCATTTTGGCCCTTAGTAGTCTGTTTTCCTCACTGATGCACATGGTTGGAACATCACAGGAAGCATGTTTCACCCAAAAAATCCAGAGCCCAACAAGCAGAGTTGTTTTCCTGACCGGGTGCACTTCTTTTCAGTACATAATGATTCTAGTATCTTTCGATATGGGGTATATCACAAGATTACTGCATGACGCATACCTACTTTTGTTTTATTTTCTTTCCATACTGATGAAACGAGCAATAGCGTTGCATCATCAGCAGCGGGCTCGCAATGCCAATTCATCGACGGCTACAAGCACTTCAAAGATACCTGTTAGTGGTGGGCTGGTTGCTCATTGGGGAGGTGCGCCAACCCCCGTGCCTGCTGCGGATTGGGTGTTGTGGTCAGTGATCTATGCGTTTTTTTTTAAGCAATGCTTGTCGTTCCAAAAAAAAACATAGCCCAGCCACGTTTTGCAAAATCACTAGCAGGGAACCATGGTTGCTCACATGTGTCATATGAGTCGTATGGGTGTGCATTTGCTTCGTTCATGCAGCACTTTTTGGTTGGGCAGCTATCAACTCTAGAACCTTGCCACCATGGGCCTCTCGAAGTTGGCGTCGTTCCAAAAAGCCATCATCGAGGACAGACATGTACAGATGCATATTGCTTTGGGTGTTACGAAAAAAAATATGTTCATTGCAAATTGCAAACACCACCATTTCCCTCACAAAAAAAAATACTTTCTTCGAGTGATCCACAAAAGCTGACATTCTATCTGACATATATCACCAGTGACATGCGGGGTCTTCACTTCTCCCCTAAAAGAACCTCCAGGATGTTCTCAATGATTACGTCTTGGGAAAGCTTGCTAGCCTGCGGAAGATGAAGCCGCACGAGCTCACCTTTTTTGACATGCCTGACACCGGGCCTGCGTCCATGGAAATGGTTCCTGGAAACTGCACAAAGTGGTATAGTTAAGATAAACCTAAAGTTGTGGGTCAAAAAGGAAGCTAATGGCCTAGCATTAAATATTATCAATTTCATTTGTCAAAATTTGCCTACACACCAAATTTGGTACTATAAGCAGTCATGGATCGTCAGGTATATATTTATAATATATATCTATTATTATAAGCAGTCATGGATCGTCAGGGATATCAATTCGTAGCTGCGTCGGCGAGGTTGAAATGCATTGTGAACTTGCAATGGACTATCTAGCTTCATTGGACTTGGCTATACCAAACATGAAGATCCATCAGGACAGGATTCCCAAACAACTGTGTGTTCATTAAAGAATCACTAGTTGATCACATGTGTTTGCCTGTTTTTCAGTACCCTCAGAAGCTGCGCATCCCTCAGGAGGTCATCATCACCTTGGTCAAGCGCTATGCTCTTCTGGGAGAGAAGCCCAGTTCGCGGCAGATCAAGGATGGTGAGGGTTGGGATGGTGTGGAGCTCCCATGATGGTATATGAGTACACTACTTTTTGGGGAAACCACTAAAAAGTAATATATTATATACTTCTGAAATATATTGGGGTTTTAAATGTAGATGGGATTGATCAACATTATCCTTGGTAGACCTGCGTCCGCAGGACTTGGCTGGAAAGGAAGCTGGCAATCTTCGAGTCATGTTGGTTCATGCCCTGAACCTATGCAAAAGATCTAGCAGCTCCAAATCTGCAAAAGTCAGCTTTCTCAAGAAATTTGTCATGGACATCAAATCAAGAGGTGGGGGTATATATACTGACCAAAACAGTTTAGCAACTCTCACGTTGGCCCTAGCCAGTTGCATGTTATGTTGCAACCCCCTGTCCAGCTGGTGGTGATCCTGAAGCTGGTGTGACAGCTGCATTGGAATCTGCAATCGCCCAGGAGATGATGCAGTGAATTTGTTTGAAAAGGAATTTGGAAAAGCAACAGTACTTTCTCAACTTGATTTGTTTCAAAAAATGCACCCTACTAGGACAGCGGTTCCTCACGTGTGACCACGCCATCATCAGTCGCTTCACGGTCCCCGAAAGAAGATGTCACCATGGAGAAGTCAACCAGTAAGGTGAGGTTGCACATGTCTTGCCCTCACCCCTGAACTCACAAAGAAATGTGATCTTATTTTTCTCACATTGGGAAATCTATTATATAAGTTGTGTCTTGAACATCCCCCTTACAAATCCTTACCCCACCAATCTCTCGTCCAGGTGGGTCCAGATGAGGTCGAGACACAGCTGGTCGACATGCTGGAGATCATCGGCATTTCGGAACCTGGGGAGTCAGAAGATCCTTGCATGGTGGCTCATGATGATGGAGCTCGCCGCCAAGCTGAGAAGGACCAAAGCCATTTAGAAACCTGACATGCTTGAACATGCACGGACATGTACTTTACTAATTCTTGAAATCGAGAACGCCACAATAACAATCCGTTTGATCTTCTCCATTACCCCAATCCCGGTTGACTGCCACTGGCCTTGCCTTGGTTCAGCTTTGGCCATAGGATCGAGCACCTCTTGAAGCAGAGCGTCCCCAGATTGACAAGAAGCTGGATGCTGCTGCTGCTGATGCACTTATGGAGGGGAAAGATGTGTTTGAGGAATCCAAGGATCCATACCAAGCACAGCTTGCAAAGTCTAGATCTTCAAAAATTGCTTCGGCTGAGAAGCTAGTTGAGCGGGCCCAAAAGGATTCGAAAGTTCAGAAAGCCATTAACAAGAGAGCCAATCAGGGCAAAGGAAGGGGACGGGGTCGTGGAAGGAATGGTGTTAGTGCAAATGGGGGCACAGCTACTCCTGGTTCTTCCGCTGATGTGGATGCTTCTCCGGGTGTTGAATCGCCCGACCCTAGCAAGCCTCCCGCCAAGCCTACCGAGCCTGAAAATTCTACATGCGCAAAGCCTGATACTACGACCAGTCCCAATGCTGATGGTGAGCCAACTCCAACCAAAGATTTCGAGACCGCATGGGCTGAGAAGGAGACCATATAATATATATATATATATATACTTGTAGGTGTTTTTGCTTATTGTTCCACTAGCTGCCACATAGGTGTATTTGTTTATCGTTCCACTACTTGCTACATAGGTGTTTTTGCTTATTGTTCCACATCTTTCAAACATCTTTAGGGACAACAAAATTACAGCCTGGTTGTGACTACGCTCGCCCCAGAGAAAGGTTTTTCCACCGGTACCGAGAGCGCCTCTCCCAAACGTCAGGAGCCAATTCTTCGTGAAGCAGGTGTGCCTGTCGAGCTGGGCTCGGGCAAGAAGCAGAGCTACAGCATCCCACCACCCGAGGGATCTTCTGGCAAATCGTTGGGGATTCTGTATTTGGCATGCACTAGCATATGGTTGCATTCCCTCCTTAAATAAGGGCTAAGACAATGTTCAACCCATCCCCACAACTATACATATATATATACATATATGATATATATATATATGTGATTCTGTTTTAAAACTTCTTCCAGGATATGTGTTCAATTAATTTCCTTTCGTTTTGCCTTTAGCCAGCTTGATTCGCCAAGGTGGTATGTTGAGCAGATCTACATCAGCAAGGTCGTCAACCCGGGGGCACTTCCCGTGGGACTATCTGCCAACCGAAAAGGAGGTGTTACCATCAGCATCAAGAAACGTGGTGGTTGGGAGGAAAGTTTCAAGATGAGTAAGAAGATCGCTGGTTGGGTGTAGGTAGCTTTTGATGGGCGCGCTGCACTGTAGAGGTGTGCAACACCGAAAAGAATCATATCTATTTATATTCAAGAACATTGTAAGTAAATAAATACAATATAAATATATTATATCTATATGTCATCATCAGCATCATCACCATCACCGTCATCATCATCATCTTCATCACCTTCATCATCATCATCATCATCATCATCAGATCAGTACTCTGTATTGTATCCATCATCCAGTGCAGCGGGCACTTGTTGTAGGCAGTGTTCACGCACAGACAGCTGACAGCTGTACTGTCCGAGGATTTTGGGGTCATGGTGCTTTAGCCACTCGCTGGGAACCGGAAAAAAAGCATGTTAGTGCCAAGACCATTGCAAAGGTGTCCCTCCAACTGAGTGAATTGAGTGGTGTCCAGGTTCCAGGTCTGAAAAGGCTAGCCTAAGACGATTTGTCAACGTAATTTGAAGTTTATCCATGTGGCATATGATGCATTCAACAGAGATTTCAGGGCCCCAGCTGCTGTAGCTAACGGTTTCATTCCCTAGCCTGTCCCAAGCTGGAAGCAATGGCGTTTGGGTTAACCCGCCGCAAAGCGGCCTTGCTTCTGTTTTATGGCGCGCCAATCTTGATGTTTCTTTCCTGGCTATTTGGTATAGCTTTGTGACTTCTTCTTACAGTTTTGGTGCCCTAAAATGTCTTCTATATTGACATGAGCCCCACTAGGGTCACCCGCATCTTAGGCTCCACTGTTGGGACTTTGTGTCCCAACAAATGGAAGCCGCAGATTCGCAATGGGGCCGGGACTGGTGCTCTCAAAAAAAACTAATAAGGTATTCAAACAACAACGTTTAGTCAGATTTATTGCTAAATAATGCCAAAGATATCCACTTGAGTTTGCTCCCTGACAAGGATATTGATGTCTATGAGCTCTTCAGCGGTTGTGGAGAGCTAGGGAATCAGTGCAGTTGCTTGGATGAACCCAAAAAAAACATGTCTAACACCAGAATTACCATTTCCTTAATATTGATTTGAAGCATCATCGAACAAATCATCTGGTATTGGGGTAGCTTTTGTAATTTTCCCGTTGGCTTGCCCAAAAAGCCAAAAACAGCTAAAAAGGAACCCCCCCCCCCCGCCCCCCCGGGGGGGGTTCCTTTTTGGCACTTTTTCTTTATGGAGGTTGGTTTTCTTTAGTGGTGGCAAACCAACGGGAAAATTGCTAGGTAGCTTGGCTTCAACCAAGAGAAATTTCAAACCTAGATTATCTCATCAGCCCGCCATCCTTTAAGGAGCTGCCGGACTCAATGTCCGAAAATCGGACATTTCCAAGGGCCTCCACCACGATATAACCAGCTCTGAAGGATTTCTCCTGTCGCTCAAGAACGTGCTTCGTGTCCGGTACGGAGGATTGCTTTGGTGTGGGGTCCCATGCAATTCGAAACTTGATATATATTTAACTAGTTAAATAATTTTCCTGCTGGTTTGCCCCCGGGGGGATTGCAAAACTAGTTGTTTTCAAAACGTCCGGATGGGACATACAAACATGTTTATGGACTGTACAACATGGATATGAAAGAATTTTCGCTTATGTAAGATTAATGGTTATTTTTGAAAACCCCATGGAAATCAACATCCGGGACTGTCACAACCGATGAACTAAGATGGGTTTGGATGGCGTCTTCCACAACAAAGCGAACTACTGTCAGCTACGGGATAATGGGAAACGAAGCTGTGCCATCTGTCGCAGCTGGTAATTGTATAGCAGCCAGAGTGGCGCTGCTATGCATGGTGGCAATAGTCCGAGGGATATTTTGGTGTGAATTTGGGCTTGAAGTAGTAATTTTTGCTTGACGGTTTGCCCCCTGGAATGTTAATGTTGGGTGGCTAAGAACAGTTTTGACAACTTGACAACAGGTGCTAGATGTTCAGGTACCACCATTTTTAATATGTGACACTATTAAATTTAATGTGTTTGGTTTCGAAAATGATCACGCACACTGGATGACAGATATAATTGTAAAGTTAATGTTGTCAAGTACGGTTTTATTTTGGTGATTTCAAACGTCGATATTGATACGTGAGATGGGATCAAACCACATCATAGGCAGAGCAGCCGGGCACATCCTGTTTGAAGGATTGTCCATATATCAGCCATGTGCTCACATCAATGGGTCCACATTTTTTCCGAAGAATGTGGATGGGCAACTTTGACCACTGGGCGAGTAAACCTTCCCAACTTTGGGGTTCTTGGTTGCTGGGTTTTGTTTGGCAAATTCTTCTTACCCAGCAAATGCCTAAGCTTTAAACTTTTTCCTTTGGCCTGCACCAAAAACATATCCAATATATATATATATATATGTATATACATGAAGTTTTTTCTTTTCGGGAAGACCAACCACTGAGTAAGTCTTTTAAGGACTTCTGATATATCTATATGAACCTGCAGCTGCTTCCCCGGATATATATGATCTTTACAACCGCTTCTGAGGCCAGATGTGGAATCATTTTCCACCCGTCTCTCACGTGCGATTCAGAAGAGGTTGCAGGAATCTTCAAAAGGCATGTATATCCGTAAGAGGCTCCCAGATGGACGGGTCCATGTGACAGGGGGAAAACGTTTACGATCGAGTGGGGCATATACGGCTGGATTCGGGAAACATGTGGCCAAGTTACTTCTGAAACGAAAACTGCAAGCGTCTTGGCTCATCATTCCGGTTTCTGTGTCGGGTTCACCCCACAACTTGTGATGCTTACTTATCATGAATTTCATAATATTAAAGATATAGTTTGATTTCCCCAATTGTTTTTGCATAGTGACCCCCCCCAAAATATATATATATATAATAAAGTCCCTGGTTGATATATGGTGGGTACCCCAAAATATTGATAATTGTCATGTTAAATTGTTCTTAATAAACCGATTTGTTTACCTAATCTTAGTATATTACATATATATATATATATTTGTTTATATCAAAAATAAATATATGCATATATATATATAATATATATATATATATGTGTGTGTGTGTTTGACAACACCTTTGCTTGCCCTATCCAGCTGTCCTTGCCAAAGGTGAATGCGAAGACTGCCAGAAAGTGGTACATGGAGAGCCACCTCATTGCCAAAACACGTGGTGGCTTTGATGCTTGTGCACCAAGGGGCGGGGTACAGGTTGCTGGTGTATAAATATTATAAAAATCCTTAAGATATTTTGGAGCATCGCTCATGTGATTTAGGAAGCCATATATATACTACCAGCAAATACTACATACGGGTCACCCCTCAGTGTGTGATGTGTGCAAACCCTGCAAACAACTATATAAAACATTTCGCATTAACAGATCAATATGATTTGAACCTGGCTGTCCAATACATAGCTAGGGCTAGGGCTTCAGGGATGGTATCTATAACCCCCATGACATTTTATGGGTCTTTTTTAAAGCCCTTTTTCATCCTTAAGCTTTTTGGACCCCAAAAGCGCTAAAAAAGGGCAACTTTAAAATAACCATAAGCACTTTCAACTTATTGGGGATCCCACAATAAAAAATGTTTTGGGGATAGCACTGACTTAACTCAGGGAATCCCAAATGGGCACCTCAATTTGGAGACTAACCCGTGTATACAGTATATTTATCAAAACCTTACCAAAAGTCACCAAACTGCTTTAAAGGGAAATAAGGATCTAATCTTATTTCCCTTCTTTCATTTCCAGAAACATCCATCATGTAGAATAAAAACAAAGCAACACATAAAGTGCAGATGCACCAGAAATAAATATCATGAATTCCAATTCAATATAGATATTTTCTGTTTATCAGAAAATAAGTGAAGCATCTTCTAAGTGTTAAAAACACAAGTAACACAAGAAACTTACAGTACTGGCCTCTACGGTGTGATTGTTCATCAAAAAATCACTAGCAACTGCGATATACACAGCCATTAGTATGCCGGCCTTGGGGATCTCTGGCCAAGGAAATGCCTATGATGTGGACACACGCAGACCTTGAACCGCTGCGTCTTTTTTTGCAAGAAGAGCAACGCCGTGGCAATTTTAAACCACAATCGGGGCTCCCACTCTAGCTACTTAGCTATAGCTAGCCACCTTAAAGGAGGCAAATATGTATATACATATATAAGATATCATATATATATATAGAGAAAGAGATAGCTTACGTTTTAATGAATATACAAATTCCAATTTAATCACTATCAGTGGGTCAAGTTTTGCCTGGGTGGATCTTAATTCGAATGGTCATGATGGCCACCTAGATCTTGAGGGTTTGTCTGGTAATTCGAGCAGTTTCACACATGCTCTGCTTTGCCTGTGTGGCTTGAACTAGTTGTCACTACGCCGAACTCCTGGGAAATGACGATTGCATGCTTTCAAGTTCTTCAGCAACCCATGGGGTGGCTTCACACAGTTTCGGGCTTTGTGAGAGAAGATACCCCACAAAATCTCATAATCCTAACAGGTTTCAGAATTAACCATAACCATGGGGCGCGTGACAAACCGTGACAAACCGTGACAGACCGTGACGATTCATTCGTTTTCCACATAAAAAGCCTACATTGTCGGAAATACCCGTGACAGAGCGTGACAGACCGTGACAGGTAAATTTCCCTCAAAATTGCATTGAAATCGAATCTTGTGTGTGGGAATTCGTATCTCCAGACCATTTTGGATCCCTAGAGCACCACGGTCATACCCAATTTGTGCCTTGCATCGTCTTGGTGGTTGTCATGTCGGCCTCGGAGGATGGCCACTTGGTCAAGGTGGGGCTTGATGAACCACAAAGGTAGTTGGGGATGAGTATATTTCAGCATATTTTATATAGATATCTATGTACGCACTAGTGTTGCACCTAATATATATATACACAATAGATAATATATATTAATGGCTGGCAGCCACACTGCCCAAAGGTGGCCCAGCGTGTGCTGGAAGCCGCTGATCGGCGTCGCAAGCTTGCATCGAAGCTTTGTGGGGATGGTGACAAACGCCCACGCCCGCATGGAACATCATCTACAAAGGTAACTCCTGATGGCAAGAAATCCTGCAGTAGGACTTCTTTGACTTCCGATGAACCCATGATCCCCAGACAGCTTAGTTTCTCTGCTGATGATGACCAAGGATAGGTTTTGGCCAAAATACTGTGATATTGATACTTTTTGTCAAAATGTTGGTTACCTACCATCAACTGCCTAACAGGAGATGCTGTTCCAACTTCGGGCGTTGGTTCGACATTGGGTCCTGCATCAGAGCCAGTGTCTCATCAAATTGAGGAACATCGTGCAGGCTTCACCCGCCATTGGTTTCATATATATATATATATGAGGTGTGTACACACATATACATTGAATATTTGTATATGCATATTATATATATTATTATTTTTTCACATTACATGATATAGATATTGAGAGAGAAATAGTACCCCAAAGGACGTGTACTTTAAAGTACCTTAAAGTACCATCTTCAGTTTTGAACACAGTCTCACAGCTAAGATAGATATAGATATTGCTGATAAATTCAATGGTATACCTGGAAGGAAGGGTGCCTTAAAGCACCTTAAAGCACCATTCATTTTTGAACACATTCTTTTAGATCGAGATGTAGATATATATATATATATATTACATATAGAGATAGATATAAATAGATGTAGGTAGATAGATAGATAGATAGATAAATAAATAGATATATAGATAGATAGATAGATAAATAGATAGATAGATAGATAGATAGACAAATATTCTAGTTGTTGCAAGAATACTCTGGCCTATTGTTTTTTTGTTTTGCTACAACGCACCATCAGGTAAAGATTGCAGCTATCCCAGCGAAGATGAGGGCACCAGCAACACCACAGACTGCACGCAACAGCAGCAGCAGTAGCATTCCACATGCAGCACCAGTTGCGCCCGGAACCAAAGATGACCAAATCACTTACAAGCCTGTGACCGCTGATGCTATGAACGCCTTCTTTAATGGGATCCCCAAAAAGGTCAAGTCAGAGCCCTCCTTGGTCAAATCAGAGCCCTCCTTGGTACCTCCTCCGCCAGACCAAGTCCTTCAAACTCCGCCGCTGCCCCAGATTCTCCCATCAGAGATTCAGGCCAGTGCAGAAGAGAATCAAGATGATCACGCGAAGCGCCAGGATGAGCTAATGCAGATGCTTGATGAGATGGATGATGTAGAACTTAAAAAATGTGCAGCAGCTTGCAGAGCCCACCCCCTGTTCCAGCAATACTGTTCTGCGCTTGAATGTCCAGGATACCCAAACCCCGTGGAAGTTTTTGGGTCAGAGCTGTCAGTCATGGCAGAAGAATGTTGTGATTTCGGACTTTGGGTTGAGGCACTAGGTGCTAGTGAGGAGCAGCAAGCCCAAGCATTAGGTACCTATGAAACACTTCCACAGCCAACGGCAGACACAGCACCTGCAGCTGAAAGCACACCGGCCGTTGTAACACCAAAGCAGCCAGCTCCCACAGTGGCCCAGCCCGAAGAACCTACCATCCCCATGGATGCATTGACTGGAGTTGTAGCAACTCAGCCAGAGCAACATGAGCAGACCACAACATCCCCCACCGAGAGCAAAGCAACAGCAGTAGTTGTTGTGGGAGACACGCCCCCGCAAGTGTGGCCAGACAACCAGTTGGGGGACCCCACACTCTACCCTGATACGCCCGTCATTGCTCAGTCCTGTGCCAAGACCTTGGCATGCACGCCAACTACTCCAGAGCCATCAGCCTGTGAGTTCAAGCCAATCACCTCAGAGGGTGTGCAGGCATTTTGGTCTGCTTTGAGGAGGAAGAGTACAGACAGCCTCCCCGACACACCTTCCCTGGAAGTGCCTTTGCCACCTGTGCCAGTCCCTCAGGTTCTTGGGGCAAGAAGCAGCGGTAGTGAGGCTAGCGCAACACCGGCTTCCCCTCCCCCAACTGAAGTTGCAACACCAGCACCAACGACGGCACCCATGCCAGAAAATCAATCATCGCCATCGCCCTCCACTGCCCCTGGAGCAACAGCGCAAGCACCCGCCCAAACACCATCCCCAGCACCAACACCGGAACCATCGCAAGCCTCACCCGCTCCCAGCACTACACCCAGAGCATCACCCACTCCCAGTCCTCTAGCAGAGGCAGAAGCTGCAGCAGCACAGGAACACCCCAGCGCCGATGACATCAAGGAGGCACGTGCATCCTACATGCGGTTCTATCGGTCGATCAGATCACCCAAAGCTCCTGATGCTGTTAGCAAGATCCTAGGTGATCCAAACAGTAACTTGATTTGGGGATATTTGATTTGATAATCTAGTGGAACATCTTACAGTAATATTTTGCAGACAAGCATGTGAGTTATATAATTAGGTGTGTATGCAGCGTGGTAAATTATGTGGCATGCATATACGTACTATTTATTTTCATATTTTGTCAAAATATACATCATGATATATTGGTATATATATAATGTGTTTCCTTAATATATTATATCCGATATGTATATTATATTATTTATATTTATATATTATATCGACTATAACTGATCTCAGCCTCCCAAGGAAGTTCGTTGAAGCCAGTGCAGATCCCTCTGGGAGGCTCATGCGGGTGCTGTTCAGTGAATACTTAGAGTGTTCAGAGAATTGGCTGGCATCCCAGCTAGTGCTCAACGAGACATCGTCCCAAAACGATGTCACAGGTGGCAAATTCAGTTGGATGACCAGGGCAGAAACTCATCGGGTTAAGATTCAGTTTTTTGATGGAGCCGAGAATAGTGAACATAACTTTTTTCCGATTATACTTTTCACAGAACCAAGTCTCAATTATTTTGTTAGAGCATGGTGAACTTGGCACACCCTCGCCCAATCTCAGGATTTGATGGTACGATATCACCAGAACGGTGCCATTGTGCAGGAGTTGATCAATGGGAAGGTGGTGTCCGGCCAGTGTAAGGATCATCCTGAATTTCCAGGAAATGCAGAGGCTTAACTTAAGTTGTTTTCCAAAACTATGGGTCAGATATTTTTAAATCCCTGGGTATATAATATATATTAATGGAATATATATATATACATATACACATATATACATATATACATATATACATATGTTTCCCCTCAAATACAGAAGAAATCTGCTACACTTCTACATCCCAACGCATCTCAATAAAGTGGAAACAACATATTTGGGATCAGCCGAGGACATGAAACTGTATCGCTGCTGGGTCGAAGACTATGAGGTCAATGAATCCCGTCATAGCAGCAGTGTGTCCCATATCCGTGAGGCTGAGGGGTCGTATGGTTATGAGAGCACCCCACGTCTTGACCAGCAGCAAGGGAATGGGAATGGTCGTGGTGGCAATGGGGCAAATCCAAAACCGAAACCAAAGCCCAAAGCAAAGAAGGAAAAAAGTGAAGACCAACTGTGCAGAGCTGTGGACTGACCAAAATATGTTTTTGTGAATTTTGTTTCCCCTGTTAATTCACCGATGCATAGAGTGGAGTTTGGGCCCAACTTGTTTGATATTGTGATCCACTATGGTTCCTATATCTAAGGCGGTGGTGAAGGTCAACGCCAATCTCTTGGAAATTTCCACCTGGCAATGCAAACTACAGGCTGCTGGGGTGTCCCTGACTTAGTCGTTTACATGATGGGTATCCTGCAATCCTGCATTTTTTTTGTGGCCACTAATTTGGATAGAATAACCCCAAACCAAACTCATGTCCCCTCTAAGGGCTGCAGTGGTGGCAACCGCGTTTGTCGACCAGATGAAATATGAGGCGGAGAACCTTCGCAAAGCGAAAACTGCTTTGGAGTCAGCCCTTGCATCTGGCACTGCGACCGAACAGGCTCGCAAGGCCCTTGATGATGCAAATGAATTGTACAAAGCAAATTCTGTGACGATCAGGAAGCACACACAGCCGGCAAAAACCAAAGCCAAAGCCAAGGCAAAGGCCACGGCTGCTCCGGCCACTACTTCATGAACATGATTGGGGAAGTGGCATTTTTTCTCTGAGAACATAGGTCCTGAAGTAATTTCATTAATTCTAATTGAGAAACATCATAATAATTTGATTGCAGGGGCAACATTGGTCTTTTTTTCTTTCCACTTGCTGGGACCGGACCCGTGCGACTCCTCCTGTTGAAATTGTCAACAGAATTTTGAGAACCTAGAAGCGATTCTGCCGCCTTAGAACCTGTACAGTTCCTGCTGCGCCGGGGCGGCACTCAAGCAGCGAGCTGGTTTTTATTTGATCAGTGGTGTTGTAAAACAATTCATTGTTTCCTGATGATGCGCTGTTTGAGTGCAGGATCAAACTCGTTTGATCACAATACATTTGGCAGGTGTACTATGCGGGAATGGTGGAGTGAAGCCAAGCGGAATAAAATACTGGAAACCACTCTTGAAGGCGATTAGTAAACACACATAGCTATGAATATGCACCATTGGGGAAAAGGGTTATTCAGAATCTTCGGAGTGAACTTCAACTTAATCTGGTAAATAAACATAGACCCTGAAAATAGGGGGTTGGAAGATTAGTTTCCTCTAGACTAATGGTTGATTTTACCCTATTTTCAGGGTCCATGTTAATTTACTAGAGGGTATTATATATATATAGCTATATATTATGAACCCTACCCTCGCAGGTGAGCATTCTTTCGCTGACCACCTTCTTTGCAGTCTTGGAAGGGGAGCAACTTGGCTATTGGGGGAATAGAATGCCAGGATGAATTTGCTAATGGTGGTGGCCATCTCATTTCAATCATAACATGTTGGTGGTAGCCACAAGGTACCAGGTATCATGGTCATCCTCCCTGTGCTCCCAGGCAACGTCATGTTTGGAGCTGCAGAAGAGCGCAGCAGCCTCTGTGCAAGAGGCCAAGGCAGGCGGTGGCTAAATAATAGAGCTGGTTTGGCATTGGGTTAAAGACAATCCCAATCTGCCCCAACATGGTCTGGGTTAATTTGAAAATCCCTGAAGAGGCGAATGGAGGAAGCATGTCGCGGCTAACAGAAAAACTGGCACGGCTAGGCAATAGCGGCAAGTATCCAAACAACATCGTGACTTGTACAGGGTTTTGCACCTTCCGATTGCCCCGTACTATGTTGAAGTGCCAATATGGTGTCAATCGAACCGCCGTGATATCAAAACCAAACGAATTCCAATCCTGTTGCCACACGAGCTTTACCACTATCTCTTTGAACCTTGCCACGAGATGGAACGGTTGAAATCTATTTCTTTTTGGAGGGGGAAACTGGTCAATGTGTATGCCCCCCTTCGGTCATATATGCTAAGGACAGTGGAAAGCTGAAGCTAGATGGCCAGCAAATAGCAGAGTTTTGGAAAGAAACCACGGAGCGGGGTTGGCTGGATGGAAGCCACCCTGGGAAACCTCACGCCAATCCCATTGGTTTGTACGGGGATGATGCAAAATACACAAAGTCAGGTGAGAAATTCATCCATATTTGCTGGAATTGTCTCCTGCATGAGCCAAATCGATCCTTGAATCCATTATTTATCAAGACCTTGTATGCATTTTGGGTCCCATAAACTTTTGTGGTTGGCCTCAAACATATTCCATAACATGTTTATCCTTCCACATCGATCTTGCATAAGGATTGGACCTTGCAAGATTTCCGATCTTGATCATGCGGTGTGCTTTGGCAATCCCGGACTATACACTGATGAGGATCTACCAGGTCATTGCGTGGAGCTTTCGGGCTTCTAGATTTGCATGAACATGTTTCGTTTTCAAACCCAGCCACAATTAACTTCGTATCCCATATATGTTTCGTTCTTTCAGGAATATATTTTGCTGTGGCTTCATCACCATTGCAAGGCTTTGGCATCGGGGGTTCACCCTTCGACTGACTTTGAGGGACATCCCCTACCTGCATTGCATTCCAAACTTTCTGGCAAACCAATAGCAGGTGCTGAGTTGAAAGACATGTTGTTGACTGGGGATATTCCAGCTTAAATAAATAAATATATATATATATATATTATAATATATATATATATATAACATACAAGCCCCTGGGTAACCGGGCATCTGGGCATCCCACCATTGCGCACATGGCATCCGACTTCCTCAGGAGGCGTTGCATATTGTGTTGAATACCGGGGTGACTGGAAGTGGCAGCGAGAATGTTTTGGACTAAAAAGTCACTTGGGTGCTTCTTCGTTTTGCCATGTATGCACTGCCTCTAGAGCGGGCAACCCGTTGGGGAGGCCTTTTCGCTGACCAAAACATGTTTTCAAATACTTACATATATATATATATATACAGAGAAATTTGTTTGGTTAACAAGATTGTGTTGTTATCCCTTTACCTGTGGCCCATGCAGGTGGACACGGTTCGGAAGAACATTTCCAAGGAGGAGTACCAGTAACGCACTTGCAAACTGCTTCAGGCTGGTCTGGTATCTAATGTCCCCAAAGCATAGTGATAGTTGCATTTGATTTGTAAAGAAGAATATCTAGATCCTGTAGAAACCTGGCATTGATGCAGGTATGATCACCCCCTGTTCTCTGCACCGGGGTTTTCGCCATCAATGATTCGGTGGTGCTCTATGCACTGCATGAATCTTGGTATCCTCCAAAACTTCTTGGGGAGTTGTGTCAGCCTCCTCATGGACCATGGAGCCTGGGTGTTCATTTTCATTACAATTTTCTCATTCAACACCTATAGCCTATAGCTATATTTTGCTTCATCTTGAAATCACCCGGGGATTATACCTTTAAATTTCAAGCAGGATACTTTGGCGGTGGTTCTGCAGATGATTGCTTTCGGACTATGTCATCAAGGTTTCGACTTTGGGCAAGGGTGAACCAATACCAGTACCTGGGATTAATTAATAGTACTGCCCAACGTTTTCTTTTTGCTTGGTGCATACGATCATATATTCCCTTGGGCACCATGTAGGATGTGTGAACCGCTTTTGGGTGTGTTATGTTTTCCAAATTAAATACTGAGGCACTCCCAAGGCTTCATGCATTCTGGTCTTCTGAACACGACGGACGGATACCCCACTTTATGTGTCAAGGCATATAACGGGCGAATTTTCTTGATCTTCATTGACCGAGCCCTTCACAGCCTTTCCGAGACAACACAAAACGGAGAGATATGCAATGCATGCGTGTCTGCAAGGACGTTGTGTGCTTGGTTCGATCTAGTGGAAAGATCCCCACGCTTCCTTGATCGACCAACCCGGATTGAGCTACATAGATTGGGAATGAAGTTCGTTATGACTTTGGACCGCCTAGCCAGGTTGGCCCTTCTCAACAACATAAGCCGTTGGAGATTACAACCTAAGGTGCACCCTTTCGTGCATTTAGCCGAGGATCACCTGTGGCATGGCGTCAACTGCCGTACATTTCACCGTTACATAGATGAAGATCATGTAGGTCTTTGCAAAAGACTGTGCCAAAAAGTGCACAGAGGAGACCTCATGGAACTTAGGGTGATTTGTCGGTGGCTCCTTCGCTTAGCATCTTGGGACCCCATGGGATAAGATTTGGATATTGTTGCATCATGTTAGCATTAATGTCAATATCTATGATAATTATTTGGGTGGCTGTCCAACATGTTCAACCAGACATCTTGTCCCACGGGCTTGCAACCAAGCTTCAGCTTCAAGTGTGGGACTTGATCACGAGGTGGAGCCATGAAAATGGCACCGGGATGGGCTGGATTGGGCTTGGGGTAGTATCCCAAATTCCACCCAAAGATTGTCGGAAAATCCCCTTCTACAAATGTAGCTGTTTTTTGTGGTCGGATCGATATATATCAGTCGGTCAGCCTGAGAAGCAACATACCCAAATGACAACAAATAGATCCAACGTTGGATCCTCAGGGATATATATATATATGTCATGTTTAGTTCAATTCCTTGAACAAATATAGCATGGAGTTCCGGTTTAGGGTTTCTTTAGTGTATATCAGAAATAAAAACACCTCCACCCACTTGCGGATGTGACTGTTTGAGTTGGTGGCTATCCCGCAGCGTCCACAGCTAGATAGCACAAAATATCAAAATGGGCGCGAGGAAGAACTGTGTTTCAATCCCCCACCAAAGCCAAACATGATGCATAAATACCCTTGACCCACAACCCTATCCCCAATTTACACCACTTGCTGGATAGGTTGTGACTATATATAATATACCTATATAATATACCTATATAATATAACTATATAATATAACTATATAATATAACTATATAATGAAACTATATAATATAACTATATAATATAACTATATAAAATAACTATATAATTTATAACTATATAATATAACTATAAAATTTAACTATATATAACATAATCCCCAGTTTATCCCATATTATTGACTATATAAATTAATATATATATTCTATCCCCGAAAATCCCTGGAGCTGCTTGTTAATTTCAATCAGAGAACAATCTGTCGCGCTTTGGGCGGCCAATCTTTCAGTAGATACCAACCAATAAAACACAAAATTGTCATGACATGTCATGGCAATGGAAACTCCATCATTTGGTCGTTGATTTTCCCAATTAAAACATCAATTTATGTTGGGGTATTTTTGCATGGCTCATCAGTAGATTTCTGCAAGGTTGACCCAATCGCCACCATTCAGGCCTTTTTGGACCTCGGCGGTCATGGAGACTCCCCAGGCTCCAATAGCGGTTCAACCGGTAAAACTCACCAGCAGAAAGGTGGGGCACCGCTAAGAACAAGGGGATGAAACACTCCCAAAACAAGACTTGAGCCATGAAAGTTTGTTTATATCATATACTTTCATGAAAACTACATTACATGAAATATACTATACTTATATCATATTGTATCCCTATGCCATTACATGAAATGCTGGCTGGTAAAAACCGGTAAGCCTCCGTCAACTACAGTATGGGTCAGTTCAGAATCCCCAAGCTATCAGTATGACACCTGATATTGACCCATCAAGATTTAATGGCTCAATCGGATGACCCGTTTTTCCCCTGTGGGAAAGTTACACTCATGCATTGGATGGAAATTGTTTATTCGTAAATATAGTAATTAACAAGCTAAGCAATCTACCACACTTTGGAATTGGATGGCCCCCTGCTAGACATGGCAATGGAAACTCACCCATTTCTAAACGATGTCATTTTCCCATTGGAAGCCACGAAACGATGCCTGGAGCCGACTCAGCCACGGCATAGCGTTTATCCAGTCAATCCCCCAGAAGACAATGGAGCCATGGTTTTTAAACCCTGCCTATTGACGTCCCTTTAGACTGGTTGAGGATTTCCCAGTTCATGGATTATGCCGATATGATGGGCTAATATTTTGGGGTTTCCATAGTCATGGGGGTAGCCCATTTAAATCATTTAAGCTGGATGGTTCATTTGCATGGAAAATGAAATTCAAATCCCATAGGATCCATGTATGGTATATATGCTAACATTGGGTGTATATTGATGGTAAATGTTACCATATATAGCATACATGGATCCTATGGGAATGGATGATGGTACCGGGTACCCCCATGACTTAGGAAACCTCCATGACTCAACTCCTTAAACGAAGCATCAACCGACAGGGCTATCTCGCAGCCAAGGCACACCCACTGACTCACCTTGGCATGTCGGTCTTCCTTGGTTGCTTCCACTGCCTGAGGCAAGAAACACGACCTTGGGTATTCAATCAGATGTCACAATGATCCATTATATACGCCTATGAATATGTATGAATATAATATGTACATATATAATATATATATATATATATTAAACCAATGACCAACAAACATTTCACTGGGGGGACCACCCTGTGTGGTTTGTTGCTTAAATCGCCTTTCGAGCCCATTAATATCCATAGCCAGACAACATCTCCTAATTAGATCACATCCATGTCGTCTCCATGTTTGAGAGTTAAAAATTATCCCTAGGGTTTCTTGATAAACGGTTTCACCCAATGTCTTTAAACCCTATGTGAAAAAAAACGAAACAAGTTGAACCGCACAGTTCGAAACTCCAAACTAATCTCAAACATGAACATGTTTTTAACCTGTTTTTAAACATGTTAAAACCCCTAAGTTCTTGGTAAACCTCCCCCAATTTTGGGCGTGAAATCAGCAACGAGGCACTGTGAGGCCGTGCAGGTCCCGCATGTGATGCTTCCAGCTCTGAGCGTCCCTGGCCATTTCGCGGCATCCTTCCATGGGTTTTTAGGGGTGAAAAAACATCGAAATATGGCGCTTTCATGGGAAATTGTTGGGAAACTCCTGGGAAAATGGTGAGAACATGGTGATTTCATGGGATTTCATGGGATTTCATCGGATTTCATGGCGATTTCATGGTGATTGGGATCCAATGGGTGATTTAAGGATGTAGAATGGGGACTATAATGGAGATACTATGATATCTACTGGAGAGGTTGAATGGAATCTCAATATACAAATATTTATACCATAGGGATATAACGATAGGGATACAATGCTGGGATCGTCAAACTAAATGAACATGTTCCCGCATTTTTGCAACATTTTGGGTGTGCGGGTCATCATATGGAATGTCGGTATTGACTCATACCCCACTCTACCAAGATGAGGGTAATATTTAGCACATGTCGATGTCTACCCCATGGATTCATATGGGGGGTGCCATTTGCAAGTGGCATGGACACCGCTTATGACACCTCCTACAAAACCCGATAAGGTCCCCATTATATATCATTATGAAACCCATTAGATCCCATTGAATCATCATATTTCATGGTTAAACCCCACTAAAAAAAACATTTCGCCTCCTCAAATCCCATGAAAAATCACAGTTGTTCAAATCACCATGTTATGACTCAAACGTTCCGTCTGGAACTCCATTTCTTGGTCATCCCGGTCCGACTTCGTACCTGAAGCGCTGACCACATTTGCTACAACCTCACCGGACGGGATCTGGAAAGGTGGAAGAAATGATGATGGCTGACTTACTGACCTGGTCAAGGGCCCTTTTCGGCCATGGTGAGCCACAAATCCCAACTATTTTCGGTTGATACCTGATGAAAACAGGATGACAAATTGATCTTCTGTGCTGCTGGTTGATGCAACAGGTTTATAATCAAAACATAAAGTTAATACTATTGATGGCAAGTGAACGTCCCATGTTGCCGGCTTAAGGCCATTTTTTCCAAATTTCGCTTAGTCATGATAGTTCAGTTTGAAAATTGTCATATGAACCAATGGTTTGATTTCACCTTTGAACGACCACTTGCAGTGGGGTCATTTTCAATTGGACAATGTTCGCTTGAACCAAACTGGTGCCACAACATGCGGAAGATCACAACCGTTTTCCGTGACTGAACATATCAACCTCATGGTGATCATTAGCTACTACTATAACTAATGTTGTATGTTAGTCATATTT